GGCGCCAGGGATTTTTTTTTTGGACCCCGTGTTTTCACCTTTACCAACACATCCTTTTCCACCGAGCTCCCCCCCCCTTGGGGGACCCCAACCCTTCTTAAAATATTGCTGTACACAGAAGGGGGGGGCCATTCCAGGTGGGGAGTTTTTCATAGGTTTTTCATTGCGTTGGAGGATTATTTTTTTCCCCCGAGGGGAACGGGCAGATGTAGGTTTCCCCCAACACCACGGGGGGGGGGGGGGGGGGAGGGGGTAGCCAGAGAGAGCAAGCCGACCGGCACGAAGACACGTCTCTATCTACGATATGACGCACATGCAGCACGTTCGTGGCGCTGCTGCTGTCGGGAGGCGTCTGCAGCGCGAGGGTCTGGTTCCCCTCGCCCCGCCCGTCCCGGAATAGCGTCACCGACACCACGCCGTCACCGCCGCCGCTCGAACCCGCTTCCTCCTCGATGCACGCCAGGTGGAAACCCGACACGGCGTGCGTCGGCGACAGGTACCTGTGAGCGCCGCAGCCCGGCCCGCCCACGTCCACGGCGTGCAGGGACCGAGAAAGCGGCGGCTTCGCTGTTTTGCCGTGCCATAGAACGAAGGAAAGACGGGGGGGTCGAGAGGTTGGGTTGTCAAGAAGAAACGGAAAGGATGAGGGAAAAACGAAGGGCTGGTTTTGGGGGGGCGTTTGTGAGTCGGGGTGGACAGCATGCCATACACGCGGAATATCTTTGGGGTTGTTCCGCGCTGCTGTTGCTAAATATATCGAGGTTCATGTATGTGCCTGCGGCGTCGAATGGGTCGGATGCTACTTCAGGGAAAGCGTATTCCGACTGTGCTGGATGCAACACACGTCCCTTTTAGACATGGTGTTTGTCAACAGCAAGCCATTTCTTCGGAAGAATATACTACGACAGGGAGCCTGCCCGTCTAAGGCGTGGCTACTCACAAAGGGATGCTTTCCATGTTTTCGAGTCCCTACAGAGTGGCAAGGTTCAGTGACACAGCAGTGACACCCGGTCTTCCTCTCAACACACACAGGACGCTGACGCTCATCCCAACGAACAGGAGCACCTGGTGCAGCAACTCCCGACGTGAAGACCTGAGACCAAAAACGCGAGCAATCACACGCCTCATTGCCTGTTGCTACCATAAGACATGACCTTAGCCGGCGGGTGGGTCATGCCTGTTAGAAAAGCTCCGCACGGCCATCGAATAACTACTGCACTGCTGTGGGTGCAAGCTGGCTCTATTCTCCGTTGAGTCGAGTTGGGCGGCTGAGAACACGATGCCCATTGTTCAATCTAGGCAGGAGCTACACGCCTCACCCGTGACGTGCATTGGGCTGCGCTGCTATGCGTGCAACCGCTCGGTGTGCGTGTGTGGTACTGGGTGGCAGGGGGACTTTCCGCTGCCAACTACAACACGCGATGATGCGCCGTCAACGGCTTCCGCGCAACTCTACTGTTTTCTGCTGTGTGGTGAACCGACAGCAGTGTAACGGCTATAAATCGCTTTACCGCCAATTGCCTCGAATTTGAGCATCAAATCTCACGTGCTGTTGCAATTCCTTCACATCCCCGACACCACCTCGCTAAACATCCCCGCTGACCAGCAGTATTTAGTCTCTAAATGACGAGTATAGCTGCGAGCGCGGCTGCATTTGCGACGTTAGCGCGGATGGAGATGCTGTATCATACGCATAGCTAGGTTGTTCCGCAGACAGGTATGGATGCATATTGTGCTGCTGGCAAAAAAACATGTGAAAAACAAAGACGATTACCGCACCGTTCGTTTTCGCAGAGTCAGCCGTGGCCTCTCCCGCTGTCTCGCCCGTGGCTGGCGTGGAAGGCTCCCACAGGATGCCCACAACGATCCCCATTGCTACCGCAACTAGAGGGAAGAGCCTCCACAGGCCGGCAGTTTCCTGCGCCGTTGCAGCAGTGCTTCCATTACTTCTCGCCTTTAGCGACTGCTTTCCTTCGCCTTTGGTGGCCGCCATGCCTCTCTCTCTCAGGCAGAGCTGGTCTCACACACTGTGTCTCTCTTGTCTCCTGTGTCTGCTGGTGTGGTGCTTGCTGTGCCTGTTGAGCAAGCAGCTCGCATTGTGGGGCTCCGCAGAATACAACCAAGGGGTGCAATCGCTGGGTAACCCGTTCAATAAAAAATGACCGGTAAAACACACACAGCTATTTTAGCTTTCTGCCCTCTCAGCTAGCTTTCTGCCCTCTCTGCAGACCGGTGTATATTGCATCTGCGAGCACAAACAGCGAGCATACTAACGAAAGATTGGCTGAATGGTGTATTCTCCCACATCTCATCGCCATTTACATTCTCTACACATGGCTGCGAGAAGAAAAAAATGACGAAATGACAGGGCGTGTAAAAGATCCCCCACACTACATGTACAATACAACACAAGATCTTGAACGGCTTGTATTGGGCTTGCAGACTCAATTTTTGCTTCAAGAACCTTGCATTGGCAGGTGTTCTCTTCGTTTCGCGACAATGAAGGGTTGGGTAAGTTGCACCCCCAACCATGGTGAGCAAGAATTGATATCTGCTACCACGATGTGTTGTTGTGTTTTTTCGTCGGGTGGATGTTGCCGGCTGGCTACTCTGTTCCTACACATATGCATATAGCATCAGTAGGCAACCGAATGATGATTGTTGCGTGGATTAATGTAAAGCAGAGAGGCTTGCAGGGTGCATATTATGTAGTTGTCCATCGCATTGATTGGATGAACAGACTGTTTGGCACACATGAAGTGCGTGTGACGTTGCAGGAGTCGCTGCATACACAGCGACACTTGTCGCGGTATCCATGCCACCACGGATGCCACAAACAAAGAGGGAAACAGTGTTTTCGAGGAATGAAACAGCAGCAGCGCAAGCACCCCAAAACTTCAACACATGGCTGTCAAGCCGCAAACGAGGATGACAATGTACAAGATCACTCAAGATCGATGTTGCTCCAAAGAGATGAAACGGGGCAACCACATGCCTTGTCCCCAACCACCATTTGCCCGTGGGACGGCGTAACATGGAAAGTTCGCGTCTCGCCAAGTTAGGAGAGACAGTAATCGCTACCCACACTGCTCCCACCCAGACCCGAACCAACAACCAACGTGTACTCCAACCGACCATTCAACCCTTCGCGGGCTCCAACCCATCTTCGTAACACACTTCCAGCCCGCCACCACGCCCGGCTACTCCCTCCGCCCCATCTCCACCGTACAGGCGAAAGAGCATCGCCAGGACCTCCTGCTCGACAAACGCGACCATGCTTGCCGGCACATAGCCGTCCTCCTCCGAGCGCGCCACCGTGATGACGCCCGGCCTCCCGCTCCAATTCGCGCTGCTGCTGCTGCTGCTGCTGGTTGTGGCAGTGCCGCCCTCGAGCAACGACCGCAGGAACGCCTCCACCGACCGCACCGCACCTTTTACCTCTTCCCGGGTCGCCAGGTGCCGCGGCAAGCACGCGCAGTGGTCCGCCCACGCGACTTTTTGCCGTCCTTCCCGCCCGATGCGGCCAACGACGGAGGCGAACTTCCCGGCGAGCAGGCGATCTTCGCCGTCCGGATCGAACAGCTCCGTCAGCCGCCGCAATCCGTGAACCTCTTGGCTCGCGCCACTGCCACCTCCACCACCGTCCGCCTCCTCCCTCGTGTCGGCTTCCTCAGAAACAGGCGTCGAGCCGTCAACGACCACCTCTCCAGGGAATCGTCCACTCCGAGCAGCACCAGGAGACCCCTCCGCAAGGTCCTTCGATGCTGTACCACCCGCGACGATCGCGCGTTCGGCTTCTCCCTTCGTGTCCGCAGCAGGTTGTTCGGCCCCGTTGGCACTCTCCTCGCCGGCGGCTCCAAGGAGTCGGTCGACCTCCGTCTTGAAGATGTGCTCGTGTTCCAGCTGCGTCTCGTGCGGGAGCGGGGTGGCGGCCCCGCGGAATCGAGGCCTTCCGTAAAAATCACGAACCACGGCGGCGTCCCTCTTTCCGAGGTGGTCCTCAAGCTCCAAAATGAAGGGGTTCTCGGTGGTGAAGTAGTCCTGCAGGGCACGTGTCGAAAGTGGAGTCGGTGGTGTGGATCGGTCTTCAGTTAATGCACGCACACACAGCGTATCACAAGCGTTTGGATCTTCAGTCGGTGGTGGGCCCGTCTTTCGTTATGCACACAACGTATCACAAGCGTGGCATCCTCGACAAAAAAAAACTCCGGAGTAGGCAGGTACTACGCCTGTACGTTTTTTTCTTGGAGCTACATGTACGCCAGTAAATGTGGACGCCTACCAAGCAGATGTCCAGTACCCACGGCGTTGGTCGGCTGCAGCCGCCCTGAGATTTCTCCGACTGCTGTGGTGCCGTTGAGATCGTGAATCTCGTCGAACAAGCCGTTTCTTTTGCCACACGCGCACCCTCCGTTTTCTCCGTCCCGTCGCCGTTTCCATGCGCGACGGTTGGCGACTTCGCTCCATCGCTGGCATCTGCTTGGGCGCCCACGCGGTTCTGCGGGCGAACCGAATCCACCTGCAGCTCGGCCCCAGTGAGACACTCCGCTGGAGACGGCAGGTTGTCGGGGACGAGGCTGACGCACAGATGCAGGGGTTTGCATTCGTGCATGTCCTCCTCGCGGCAGTAGAGTCTGTCGTCGACGAAATAGGGTGCAGTCGAGGATACTCGAAGCTTCCCTGTGGCCTTCACCTGGCCGACGCAAAAACTGAACCACGCACGGCAGCAGAAACGGTGACGTTAGCATCCAGCTCGGTGACTGGTCGCTGGCGGGTATTCGGTCGAAATGTTTAACCGTGGTTTCTGTGCTTGTATTGAATGGGCTCCTTCCATGTTGCCTGTTTTCTTCGTGTGGCTGAGTGAACAATGCGACAGAGTAGTACCTAATCTAGGCAAATCATGAAATGGAGAGCTCCACCCGCACAAGGTAGTAACCGCAATTGTAAGGCAAATAAACAGCGGAGAGATCAACGAGCGCCTACTTTGCAATACATGGAGAAGTGGCACATCGGTTCATGCAGATACAGCAGTGCTTGCAGTATGACTTACCGATGATCCCCGTCAGTGAACTGCCTGGCCCAACGCGGTCTCACCCACCACAGCGTGGAAAGGTGACCCTAGAAGTCAGGTGTACGAGAGAATGTTTGGGAGGTCCGCGTTGTTAGAACTACTCGTAGCATAATATGGTGGATGCATACTGGGCATATTTCCATGGAGATTGCAATCGGTAGACTGCGGGAGAACAGGAACTCCGCGTGGTCCCGTCGTATCTTGCGCTTCATTAGGTGATCCGAAATACGAGAGGTGAACGTGGTGGCGCGCTGCATGTATCGCGTGGTGGACTCCTACAACCAACTTTTTCCACGCGTATTTTTTCAGTTCGATAGCACACGACCCCCAATCTCGGCCCGTCTTCCTCCATTCACACAAGGGTTAGGGTCCATCTGACTTAGAAGTTACCAAGATTACAAGTAGGTGTTGGACATGCAGCTTGGTTGGGGCGCGTACAACGGGTTGAGTCGAGAGTCGAGAGCGACCGTGGAGGAAACGTGGTAGATGGCCAGGAGTCTCGCAACACACGATGGACGCCCACAGCAGCAGCCATGGATGCCTTACCTGGTATACCAACGGTAGGATCCACTCTGCGATACCTCCCTCTGTCTGGGCCAGGGTGTCGTAGAGTTCGTGGGGCCGAAAGCAAGTCTCTGCGGGCATGTCGGGTGTCACCATCAAGTCCGGGTGGGCATCGAAATGGACAGCCGAAAGGCCTGTGAAGGGCAACGCGCCGTTTCGGATAGCTCTGTGTATTTTGCTTAAGGCATCGCAGTGGTCGTCTACGATGTAGCATCGCAGAGAAGGCGTTGGTCTCGCACGTTTTCTCCCAGCAACTCGTGTTCTTTCCATCAGTAGTGTACAGCAGGTACAGCAGTAGTACGTTGCGCTCCGAGAGGCTTTGAGCTCATTCGTCAGATGGCGCCAGTTCTAACCGAACCACGATGGCTCCTGGATCGCTGGTTAGACAGTGGAAGGGACAGAGGGTAGGAGTGTAGGAAGAGAGGCAGTAGAGGAGTCACAGGCCAGGCTGGACAGCAAAGACCAGGACAGCGTGAAAAGCGGCGAGCACACACACACACGGGACTGTCGTAAAATCTCCCTGGCAGAACCAACATCCCATCCAACCCCGTTTTCCCCCTAAACCATCGACGGCCGGCGATGGCATCGACAATTGCCATCTGTAATCCACCTCCTTCCTCCACCGGCAGTGGCTAGCCTTCAAGCATGGGGCTTCTCAGCATACTTAAAAAAGTGAAGCAAAAGGAGAAGGAGGTTCGCCTTCTAATCTTGTGAGTTCGACCAGATAATGCTTTGTGAACACAAGCCGTCGAGATGTGTTGATGATATTGCGGTTTGAATTTCTGAGCGTTTCTCTCTTGGCAGGTCTTTCCCACCTAAAGGCTTTGCCTAGACTTACACTCCCGCACAGCAGGTGGTGATACTATATGTAGCTGTCTACCTCAGAGCCCCAAGTTACACATGTTTCTCCCGCGCGGTGTGGATTCTCGAGAACACAACCCGCCCCCCGCCCCCCCCGCAAAAGCATGGTTTGGATATGCTAGCCGACCATCGCGGGGTGTACTTGCTGTAGTAGCCTACAGATGTTTCTTCGAATCACCACATATCACATGACCCGCTCCCTGGCGGGCACACACGTCGCGTATACCGCTGAAACTTTTGTTGTTGCAAATGGGTGCTCTAGCTATCAGTGCTTCTAAGTAGCGAAGCTGAACTGCGCGAGAGGATGGGTTTGTAGTTGAATTTATGTAGCTGGAGCTCGTTTTTGCTGTGTCGCACATGATGAGTAACTCTACCTGCCGTAGTTGCCGAGCCTGGAGTGGTGGGTGAAGAGCTGTCGTTGCCAGACCACTCTCCGAGCTCTATCCCATGCGAAGATCTCTATTTGCTGGTGCTATTGGTTCTTCGATAAAGAGCCTCAGAAGCTTGGTTCTGTCTTCCGGCTACAGGGGGTTGGACAACGCCGGCAAGACAACCATCGTCAAGAAGTTCAACGGGGACGACATCAACGCCATCGAGCCCACCCTCGGCTTCAACATAAAAACCATGGAGTACAAGGGCTACCAGCTTAACGTCTGGGATGTGGGAGGCCAGCAGACCATCCGGTCATACTGGAGAAATTACTTCGAGCAGGTGTACCTCATGGGGGGGGGCACAGAATACCGATATAGATGCAATTCTGTGGGGGTGGGGGGGCACTGTCTGTACCATACCGAGATACGTTGACGATGCGATTCTTGTTGAAATATGCATACGTGCGACGTAAACCTGATGCACCGGGGAACACACTGCCGTTGCTAGATGTTGCGAAGGTTATGGTTTCAATCCCGTCGGTTGTGCGAAGTCCACTGCCGAGCCGCGCCTGTCGTACAGAACGCCGTATGTCGTCTTGTGTTGTGTCTTTTGAACCCGATGAGGCCCTCAACCCAACTTTCGTAGTCAAACCTACGACGGCATCTAGGACCAGCCTGCTATAACCCCTTTTTATGGGGAAGCACTGCGCTGTAGCACCGCCGGAGGCGGAATACCCCTATCTAAGCATCTAAACTGTTTTCCTCACCCTTGAGAGCGTTCCCGCCCTAAATCCGTGCCAACTGCTTTCGGCTCGTTCATGGTAGACCGATGGGCTGATTTGGGTTGTGGATAGCGCAGACCGAGGCCGATTGCAGGACTGCAAGCGGGAGCTGCACGACTTGCTCGGACAGGAGGTGAGCATCGTGATGTAGGCGGTGCTTGGTAGGAAGTTGGACACTCGACGGGTGCACACAAGCATACAAATTCTCGCTTAAGCGGAGGAACCAAGCGTAAACTACTGCTGTGCCACCACCCCGGTGAAAGTACCAAGTGCCCTACCTGGGCTTTGGCTCTTTCTATTGCGGAGGGTTTATGATACCAACTTCTTGTGAAAGGTCCTCCCCCGCCATCTGGTGACAAAAACAACAAAAGACTCAATACATGAAATAAGATCAGTCCCGACGCTTGACTTTTTCTGCTCAAGAGGGTTCTATGTCACTGAAAATCGCCAAGAATCTTCGATGCTCGTTCACCAGACGTATGCATGTTTTGCCCCGGTACAGTATCTCATGGAGGCGTGAATGCCGTCTTTCGCTGACTGCGATCTCTTCTCGTGAACACACAACCACGCAGAAATTGGCCGGAGCATCGTTGTTAGTGTTCGCTAACAAGCAAGACCTTGTAGGGGCACTCGGGGCCGCGGAGATTGCTCAAGTGCTTGGCCTCGAATCCAAGCAGTTCGCCAATCGGCACTGGAGCATCGTCGCCTGCAGCGCGGTCACCGGGGAAGGGCTTGCCCAAGGGGTGGATTGGATGGTCAGCGATATCGGAGCCCGGATATTCATGATGTCATGATGATACGCCCAGCAGCGGTGTCTGGATAGGTAAATAGCCCGTGAAGAATTCTCGGCAGAGACAAGCAAGCAGGATCGATTGGTACACGCAACAGTCGGATTAAGCACAATGTGCTTGTAGCCCGCGAGAGAGGTGTCGAGCGTGTGGTGTCCGTCGCGTCCTGATCGATAGGCCATGTACTGGGGTCTGTAGCGCCCATGTAGAAGGAGGGACCAGAGGGGTGGGGGGAGAGCAGAGAGAGAGAGAGACGGGCACGTCACTCGTACCGAAGCATCCCTTTCGCGAGGATTTGCGACATCGAGCAGAAAAACAGAGCTTGTGTCACGGTTTTCGGGAGCTCTTACGCAGCTTACGCAGATGTTTTGTACACTATCGTTCTTGGCAGTGTTTCGTCCCATCTTATTCTGGAAGTCAGTCTCTCCACCTTTCTTTGGGTATGTATATTGTAGGTTCTGGACGATTCAGCCGGGCTCACAAATAAGGAAGTCCACATAAGGTACTTTCGCTTTCTTTCTCCGGTACTTGCCTTAATTCTAAAAGCGGGAGGGATTTAGCCGTCCCTTTCCCTCGTTCGGCCGTGATATCGAATTTGTTGCGTACAAACGAAGTATTCGCCTTCCACATTTTTTGGGCATACCCAATTTTTTGGAAAAAAACGAAGACTCCCAGTTCCCGTGACTGCGACCCAATTTTTTGGGAAAAAACGAAAATTCCCAGTTCCCGTGACTGCGCAAAGATTCGAACCCAAGCCCCAAACATCAGAAGGTTGCGAGGCACCAACCGAACAACCTTCGACCTCCTATTGCGTGGACCGAGCGCACACGACAAATCACGACCGACGTCCCGTAAAAAACTTCACACGAGATACATTTGGCGACGCGGCACTACAGCAGTGTAGTTCCACACAACTTTCCACCTGCGATTCAACTCGGAGTTGCATGACACAAGGTGCCACCCTCCTGAAAAGCAAGATATAACCTAACCTGTTGAACCGTGAGCCAATCGCAAAAGCTTGGCGCGGTCAAGAACAAGCGAGTACCCTCCGCCGCAAAAAAACAGAACCGCTACATAACCTAGACCAAAAACACAACCAGAAAACTAAAAGTGAACAGATGTCTACAATGAAGCAAGGTGCTGCTGGTGGGACGGCCCTTCACCGCCGATCCCGCGCATCCCAGTCCACGCGTGGCCGCTTATTCGCGCGCCCGCCCCCGCCATAGTAGTCTCCACCGCCGCCGTGGCCGTAGTAGTCTCCTCCTCCTCCTCCTCCCTGAGGTGCAAGCTGCCCGTTCATCTCGGCGAGGGCTAGGCCGCCCATGCCTCCTCGTGCTGGGTCGTTCGTGGCGCGCGCTTCGTCTCTCACCTGCTCCGGGGTTTTTCCATTTGATTTGGGATATTGAGGGGGGGATACGGGTGTCTGCGTTGTCAACGACATGGGCGGCCATGTGCGAACACTCACCCAGTAGCAGAACAGCCGAGGGCGTGCAATGCATATCTATGAATGGAAGCCATTTGATAGGTGGCTCGCGCAAAATATCGGCTGTTCTTGACACAGTTACTACATGGTTGGCACAGCAGTGCGGTGAATGTGGGCTACTTCGTAGTCCTACCGCAGGAAAACCAGCGATACCTTGGTAGTGTCATCCAGCTGGAACTGAACACCCAAAATGGCGCACAAACGAAAACAGGAAGCCGAACAGGTCACTCTTCCAACATTCAACCACACAACAGGACCATTCCCATCATTCCGGGCGGAAAAACTCGACCAATTTGACCAACGCTTCGAGGGGGTTGTCACTCACCTGCCCTCCCGACATGCCGCGCCCATACTGCCGGCCCTGCTTAAACCCTGGGTCGATTCCCACTTTGATGATACGCTCGTCGAGCGCCGTACCGTCGAGGCAGGTAATCGCCATCAGCGTATCAGAATGGTTCGTGTACCTTGAAGCAGCGAGAAGTGAATTGGGTACAAGCGGATACGGGTGGGTAAGGCGCCACGAGGATTTGGGGGGAGGGATACTAAACGCTGCATCTGTCTCAGAGTAACCTGCTGTTCCTTCCCTCTCGCGGGCATGAGACGGAACCCATCGGGTAAAATGGTAGCCTGTTTCGTTGAAGCGAGGAGGATCCACCGACCTTTCGCACAGATTCTGCAGGGAAAAAAGGCAACCGCATGAGGTAGTACATACGGAGAAGCAAGATAACACCCTCATTTACCGCAACCGGCCTGACCAGTATGGTTGTTGTGGACGTCCAAGACGAGAGCGGTGGTTCTACGAACAACAGAGTGCATCTTGACTACATATGTTCATCCATCCCTCCATGCCGTCTACATAACAAGAAACACGGTGGGATTTCCATTTCCGGACCCCGCGCAGCAGTTGCTTACAAATCTGAACATACAAGACTCACTCGACGAAGCAGAAACCGCACGGGGACTTCTTCACGCGGTCGAGACCCATGATCACTCTCCGAACCGCTCCAACCTGTCGAGAGCGGCGAGAAAAGAAATTAGCTGTGTCAACAAGTGTCAAGCAAAGAAATTATTAGCTGTGTGACATGTGACACTTCCGCCAGCGCAGCCGACGTAGAGTATGCATGCGATGCTGCTGCTCTCGCAGGGTCATTAGGCTCAAGCACAACTGCTGTCGTTACTCTGGGTGAGCAACCGAAACAAGACCACGTCTTCGTGTTTTGGATCAACACGACACGTCAAGATACCCACGGCGGTGCATCAGAGATCGGAATGGAAATGTATCGTCCTGGTTGTATTGCTGTCTCGTTCTGGGCCGGCTCTCCCGTTTACTTCTTCGTGACTTGAGATCAACACGTCACGTCAAGATACCGACAGCGGTGCATCAGAGATTGGAATGGATATATATATGTATATATAGTACTTTTTTTTCTCCCATCATTGGATTCTGTCGTCTGCCCCTCTGGCCCCTATCCTCCACTTCTACTAGCTAGACGACCCAACCGGGTATGTATCGTCCTGGTTGTATGCTATTGCTGTCTCGTCTACAGCCGGCTCTCCCGTTTACTTCGCCAGGGCGCCGAGGCCTGTGCGCTTTTCAACTGCTTAGCCTTTCAGGCCTCTGTGTCTGCGAATTCATTAAAAACATGCGTTGCGCTGGACATTCGCCTCTCAGCAACCATGCACGCTCGTATGCATAGTTCATTTGTAGTAGGGAACGGGGAATGCACCCCTGCTGCCAAGACAATCAAGCCCTCCATCTCACCTGATCGAACAGGGCGTAGATTTGAGACTCCTGGGTATAGAAGGACAGGTTCCCTACGTAGAGCGTGCTGGACTTCTTGAGAGCCTCCTTGTAAGCCTCCAGCGAGGACCAATTCTTGCGGTCCCAGTAGGGCCGCTCGGACCACCCGAAGTCAAGCATCTCGGTCATGGTTCCCTCCTCAGCCCTAGACTAGTACCCTAGTACTGCTGTAGGTGGGTGTGCTTCAGCCCCGCCGTAGCTGCGTTCGATATCAATGCTCTACAACGAGATGCGATGTTTGTACCTGTATCCCGTGTTCTGTAGAACAAAGCACACGGAACTCCGGCGTAGTGGATCAGCAGCGTCTGTTGCTGGCAGTGGTAGACACAGAGTAGGCAGAGCAGACAGCGGCCGCGGCAGCTGTGTGTGAGCAGGACCCGCCGCACCAAGGAGGTGGGGCTCCGCAATCTGTCGCCGCATGGGCGTGATGTGTCTCGTTCGTCTGCCCCCTCGCCTTGGCGTACGGGGAACCGACGTAGTGAAAACCAGCGCACACAACCGCCAGACCCTGCGCTTCGCAAAGGAAGGCTTCCGAGATTCGGGAGGTGGATAAGCCTCACGTCGAGTAAGGTATGGGGAGGCATTGCTCTATCAGTGCGGTCCGTAGGCAAGCCCTCAAGTTTGAAGGTTTGTTCGGCACACGCCAAAGCCGACAGGCGAGGAAGTTCGGTATCAGTACAAATACCACCGTCTTCTTGTACATGGGGCGGAGGTCATCCCTTTTGTGCCGTTCATGGAATTCTCTGCTACTGCTGCAGCTGCTTCCTGAAAAAACATGGTGATTATTACACGAAGCCTGGATGCAGCTACGTCTGCCTTTTTGGGACAGCGAGATTGTTGGGAGAAGTGTGTGGGAGTTTTGGTCTTCATGCGGGCTGGTTACTCTTCTTCTGCTGCTGCTGTGTTGTTCTGCCCTACACACTCTTCTTTAGCTGCTTGCTTACACGCTTTTGGTGCTCCCGCACGTCGCAGAAGAAGCGGGCAGTTTAGCCACAGATCTAGGCATGTCGGGCTGGTTGGTCCTCTCCCTGCACGACAACCACCTCCCGCTCGTGTATCCCAGCGTCCCGCTTGCTTGGCGGATCGCAGCTCAATATCTCGCCCCTCGTCCGTTGCTACGAAAGAGAGATGACAACACGCTTACAGACAGCTACAGCTCCGGTGCAATGGTAATTGTTGCAGTTGTAATTTGCAGATATGTGCCCACCAAAACTGCCTTCTTCACCCAATCGGAGAAACTCGTCTCGCATTCTCCAACATCGATGTTAAACTATCCGATTTACGCCGTATCGGTGACCATTCTTGGTTGTTACTTCTGGCTGCGCGCCGCCGCCGCTGACCAAAGGGTGAATGGAAAGCGCTGACTGCTGTACGCTTTTGCGGTATGGGTTGGAACAAATGAACACTAACGCCGTGGTATGCACCGGCGCCCCATTGGTCTAGCCTAGTCTTAGTGGGTAACCTCGCAAACCTACATACAACAGCTGCATTTTGGCATGGTGGGTAGGCTTTTGTTCGGAATTCTGTCGGGGGTGAACATTTTGCAGCTCTACAAATATTCGGGAGTATACTAATGTTCTTATAGAGCTGCAAAATATTCACCCCAAGAGGGAAGGGAGTGCTGAACCCGTCTCCGCATCGCACACGCGGGGAAGTGGGAAAAAAAAAACAAGTACATTGTTTTGCATGTACTACTATGACGTGTACAATGTATGCACATGTAACCTTCGTTGATTCGCCAAATAGACACAACCTCAAAAGGTGACTGGCGCGCGCGAATACAAAGACGGGACGAAACACGAGGCAACACCAGACAGAGAGAAAGGCAGGAAGATGCACGCGGCCCTCGGAACCACCAGTGTTTTCTCTCTCATACACCCACGGACGAACAACAAAGGCGTAAAGGTGCAATCGTGCGCAAATACCGAGGGGCCGCAATCGCAACACGTCAATATCAACTGCGTGTTATTCTTTGTTTTATGTGTCGCCCTTAGGTTGATGACACACAGCGGCTGCGATGAACCTCTTTCGGAGCCGGGTGGATGTCTTCGAAGCCATCAACAAGGGTGACTGGCAGAAGGTCAAGGACAACGTGGTTCCGGGAAAGGTGGGCAGAAACGTCGTTCGGCTCTTGCGTTTCTTGTTGAGGCCCTGTGCGTGTCCTTCTGTAGTGCAGCCCCCCCCTGTTCGTACATCTATCTCCATGGAAATCAGTCCAGCCTCTCTGAAGTGTGGATATTCGCTATTAATTGTTCCGAAGCGACAGCTATGTATGTACGCGGGAGAATCGACATGCTGTCCAGAGCCCACGCGTGAAACATATCGCGAATATCTCGCCAACGCCTCCTATCAAGCAAAAGTTATCCACAAGGTTCGACCGACGGTTGCTGCATCGTATTGGGAGAGCAACAGTAAGTCTTCCGCTCCCCTGGTTTTTGCCAATTTTTTGTTCTCCTCCCACTGTTGCCAAGCTCTCCTCCTGAACATTTGTCGCACAGACAGCATGGTAATCCGCGCGTATTATCAGGACGTGCTTCGCTGTTTTTTGCATGGAACGAAATGGAGCCCTCTCTCCGGTGCCATCTCGATCCACAGGCCAATGCTCGCGACTCCCAGTATGACGCGACTCTGCTGCACTGGGCCGTGAACGAGGGGCACATGCCGACGGTCGAACACCTGCTGGCTTGCGGAGCGGACGTGCGATTGAGAGACGGGAAACAGTGAGTTCCCGGCATGCGTGTTCGTGAATCAGCACCCCAACAGCTGCGGTGGGGCCCTGAACTTTAGGTCTACATGGGAGAAGTTCAGCTTGGCGGGGGGTTGTGTAGGGGCGTGGGGGTGCTCGTAGGATTGGTCAAGGGTAGGCAAGAGGGATAGCGCTAAACGATGCTGACTATCACAGGAAAACCTCCAAATGGTGGTGGGACTGCTGCGGCAGTTTTGTCTTCAAGAAGAACCGAACTTGCTGTGCTGTCGCGGCGTCATCATACCGGTGCACGGAGTGGTAGCGATGGTTCCGTTTGTTTTTTTTTGTCCCCGCGAAGGCTGACTGTCTCTCTGTTGGTCTGCCCGATTGGCGCGGTCGATGCCGCTCGCTCGGAGCACCCCAACACAGCAGTAAAAGAACTTACGCTGGTGATGCGCGCCTTCATCCCCATGTTTTCCCTTCCCGGCGCAACTTTCCTCTGCCCCCGCGCCTCCCGACACGCTGTTTTTTTTTTTGTGTGTGTGTGCGCAGCTCCGCCACCCCGCTCCACTGGGCTGCTGCTAAAGGTCACGTGTTCGTGGTTCGGCTGCTGATGATGCAGGAGTCTGACGTCAACAGCAGGGACGCTTCGTGAGTTTCCGTTTTTTTAAAGGTGCAGATTTGCGTTCTTGGTGGGCTGGTTGCGAAGGTGGGAGTTGCGTGATGGGCGCGTTGCACAGCGATCCACGAGTACACACGCAGAGAGAGAAGAGCGTACTGATGGGGAACAAGCGCTGGATCCTGGCCGTGTAGTAGTAGTGTTGGTTGGCGGTGGCGGTGGCGGTGGCGGTGTTATCGAGGGATTGCGTACGTAGGCCGCGCTCACTCCTCCTCTCCTCTCTTCCCTTGTCGAACGAACAGCAACCGCACCCCGTTGCACTGGGCGGCCGGAAACGGCCAGCTGGGGGTCCTCCGAGAGCTCATGTTCTGGGGCGCGCGCGTGGAGTGCACGGATGCTTGGAAGAAGGTGCCCCTGCACTGGGCGGCGTTCCGGGGGCACGTCGCCAGCGTGGAGGAGCTGGTGGGGAAGGGGTCGCCCGTGGACCAGCCGGACGCGGACGGGAACATCCCGGGAAGCACGTTCCACCACAGCGTTCCGGAGGTGAAGCGGGGAAGGGAGAGAGAGTTGTAGCAGCACCAGTTTTGGGTTTTGTCATGTGATGTATGTGCACTTGGGGAGACTGAAGGGAGCAATGGCGCTGCAGGTGCGGGCGATTTTTCTGGCTGTGTGAGGAAGGATGCACTAGAAGGCAAGAGCTACAGAGGCACAAAGAACACCACCTTTGTTGAGGCGAATTTCCTGGCTGTGCGAAGAAGGATACGCTACGCAAGAGCTACAGGCACAAAGTAACACATTAGTTGAGGCGAGTTTTCAGGCTGTGTGAGGAAGGATGCAACTACCCCAAGAAGATTACCGGACTATTATACATTACTGCTGTGTGCCTACTCTCTTGTGATCGACTGAAGCCGTTGTGGTGCTCTCTGCGGACTGCTGTGTTGCTTCGCGGCGGGGACCCTGGACAATCTCAGGAGGCAATAAGGGACATCCGGTCGGCGATGCAGCGAGGCCCGGCGTCGGGGGACGGCGTGGTGAGGGCGGCGACTGTATCTTCGGAGCTGCTGCTGGAAACCCTTCGGGCGTGTCGGTCTTGGGGGGAACTTTTCGAGGTAAGGCCTCCCTTCAAAACATGGTGTGATATCGCTGTTGGGGCTATAGACTTGAATTCAGAATCAGGTGTACATGCGCTACGCTTGTTGCTGTTTGAATGCGCGTGTGTCTACGCAGTTCTCTCTCACCTTTGGTAGTGTCTCTGTTTTTCTCGAGGGACCTACAGAGAAGGGGAAGATTAATTTTCTGTTTGCTCCTTCCCCCTTTCCTCCCGTCGTCCCTTACTCCTTCACGTGAAACTCGCGGACATTTTTATTTCTCATCCTCTCTCTCTCTCTCTCTCTCTCTCTTTTCCCTCCTGCGGGGCCACCTCTTGTCCTCTTTTCGCTATTTTTCTCACAAATGAAACAAGAACCGCCATTTTGACGTCCTGTCGAAAGAGTGCCAGGAGCACCGGGAACGGTTGAGGGGTGTCATTCAAGGCCTCGCGGACCAGGTGCGATTGCCTACTCTATTTGCTAGTACATAGAGAAGGCCGTAGCTGCCGCGCTTTTCACGCGTGGGCGTGGATAGCGACCCCGTTTGTGTAGTCCTTGTGGTGGGGATGTGTATGTCTGCTTTTAGTCGAATCGGCTCTCGAGGGCCGCCTGACCCGTCGCCGTAACATTGTGGGGGAGCATTTCCCCCCCCCCCCCGAGGAAGAGTTGCTATGCGAAAAAGCTAAAATTGCAATTTCGAGTAGGCGATCTGGACTTGCCAGAACGGAGGAAGAGGTATACCAGCCGTAGGAGAGAGGAAGAGGAGGATAGACACACATGTCCATGTGGCAAATCGGAGGAGAGTAGACCCCACATAGTTGGGGAGTGTGAGTTGTACAGGAAGGAAAGAGAGGATCTCGAGGAGGAAATGAGACAGAGAGGGTGTGACATGGACAAGTTTGGTAAATTAGACAACAGCGAAAAAACGATCGCGATAATTGGGGATAGATGGTGGGCACAAGAGGCCCTAGAGGACGGGGATAAGATGTGCAAGAAATTTTTATGGAGTTTGTGGCAGAAACGTAAAGAGCTCCCAAATGTTGGTGGTGTCTCTAGTAGGTATAGGAACGGTGCTCCGTCTCGAAAGGGACGCGTGGTCAATGGTCAAATGACTACGGCAAGCAACAAATGAGTACGCCCCCCCCGAGGAAGAGTTGGGAAGGCACCCTACTACACGATCGTTTCCCCTCCGCGCTCGTCCCGCCCCTAACAACAGCACCACCACGTGCAACAACTCCACAAAACACAGGGCAAGGCCGAAGGACTTGAGCCGTGCCTCAAGGCCATGGACCTCCTAAACTCGGCCCTGGGTCTCCACGAGGACATGCGGTCGGGCACCAAACCTGTCCCCCTCGGCGGCGGCGGAGCGGGTCAGGCTAGCGGCGCCTCGTCCTCTTCAGGCGGCGGTGGCGGCGGCGGTGGCGGCGGCGGCGGCGGGGACCGAGACCGCCGCGGGACCGGCGACAGCGGCGGCCCCCCGAGAGCGGGCGGCGAGCACCGGGGTTCGGAGGAGCTGCGGGATTTCCTGTCGACGGAGGGGAACGGCGGAGGGGGTGGGGCTAGAGGCGGGGGTGGGGCGGCGCCGCCGCCGGGGGGGCAGCAGCAGGACGGGTCGTCTTCCGCGGCCTCGCTTAGGCTGTACCAGCTGCCGGCGGTGCGGGAGGCGTGCGGGGGCTTTGACCAGAAGCGCTGCATCGGAGAGGGAGGGTTTGGAAAGGTGAGGAGATTGGGGGCCTTGGGTAGCAGGCGTAGTTGATGACTCGGTGGCTATCGGATAAGGTTTGAAGACGAGGGAGGGAGGGCGTGGTGCTGGAGGTGCCGTTATGGAGCGCCGTGTCGGAAGATGGGCAAGGTTTTGGTCATTTGCATGTAGAGCGGCGAAGCAACTTTGTGATTTCCCTTGAGTGAGGTGGTACGGTGGCATTCGGGTACTCGAGAGGCGGGGGGGAAGAGTACGGCATCTATGACCTTTACGGTCAGTCGGATGGTTTATCACCGCAGCTGCAGCGGCGGATCAGCGGCAGCAGCAGCGCGAGGAGTGGCATCACACACCAAGGATCTCTTCCATTCCTTCGATGTTCCGCACGATGGCTGATATGTATGTGCAGGTCTACCGCGGCAGCATGATGGGCCTTCCCGTTGCCGTGAAGAAGCTGGACGAGACAGGACTACAAGGGCGGGAGCAGTTCTTTCGGGAGGTGGAGGTAAGCGGGAAGTCCTGGTCGTGCAGACGGACACAAGACAGGCAGAGGCACGGGATGTGTGCACTCCGTTTCCTGTCTGTTGTTTCTTGCGTGTTTTTCTGTCTCGTTTCCGTCTCGTCGTTTTTCGCCGCCCTAGGGCTACTGCTGCTGTACCCCAAAGTTTCTGCGCTCCCTGCATCGCGCGTGCGCGCATGCGCAACGCGAACATTTCCACCCGCTTACCAGGACACTGCCCTCTTTTGTGTGCGCTGGCGTGAAACGGCCGCGGTCCTATCGGCCGTGTGCGCGTGGTGTGTGCGCGTCCTTGTTGTTCTTCAGGTGCTGAGCACGTGTCGACACGAGAACATCGTGCCGCTTCTTGGAGTGTGCATGGAGCCTCCGTGCCTGGTCTACCGACTCATGCCCAACAACAGGTAGATACGTAGATGCAATCGCCCGATGCAATCGCCCGGTGTGATTTTTTGTGATTTTTGCGTGTGGTGCGGCCTTCAGTGAGGGAGGTGTTGGGTGTCGTGGGTTAGAGACAGGTTCGCTCGGGGAACGCCGTTCGTGTCGACCCCAGGACATGGTGGGTGGGTTGGGTTAACCTGGAATCGCTTGGCTGTTTGCCGACGATGCCCCCCCCCCGTGTGGGGAACATCCTGTACCCACCCGTCGTCTGTCCGACAACCCTCCGTACGCAGCTTTGCGACCGAGCCCCTCCACTTCACCCGTCGGTGCCATTCAGGAGAGTCTGTAACCGAAACCCAACAGAACACCCGCTGTTTGTCGCACTCCTTTTCGCTGTCAAGCATGCACCACCCCTTCTGGCTCCCGCCGCCCGTGGGTTGGCACCGGTGGTGCGCCCTCACACCACACCTTCGCCATCGATCGGCCTACCGCCCCCTGCTTCCCAACCCCTCTGTTTCATAATCGCTCTCGTCCTCGTACTGGCCGCCGTCGGAAAAGCCCAAAATATACTTGTATGTCTAAAGCCTAACCCGAAACCAACCGTCATCGCTACTGCCTGTACGCATGTGAAACCTGCCGCCGCATCCCTCGGGATCTATCCAATCGACCAGCCTGCGGCATCACCTGGATGACCCGGCGTTGAGGTCGCGCCTCGGCTGGCGGCTGCGAGTGAGGACTACGATTCACATGTGCAACGGCCTCGAGTACCTGCACAGCGACTCCACCAACAAGCCCAAGGTGGGTGCCGCGGCCGCACAGCAGCTCTTGTTTTGGTTCGAGTAGAAGGGCGTTTCCATGCTCGGGGGTAGTGGGGAATGTTGTTTTTGTGAGCGTGGGGAAGCAGATGGCCGTAGATGGGGGGGCTGCCGCTAGCGTTGAGCCCCAGGATGCGCCTGTTCTCTCGTAACGAACCGATCTGTAGGTAAGTGCATGCTGGAATTTGGCCTTTTCCTCATGGCACCTGCGACGAAGAGCTCCGTTGCTACCATGGGGTAGTAGTGTCATTAGCAGCTACTTCGGCATCGATTCCCCTGGCACCTGGGGTCATGCGTCATTTCTTGTTCCTCTTGGAATTTTGGAGTTATGTGTCATTCCTCGTTCCTCTTGGCAGTCGACGAAGCAAACATACAAGTAGTCCCTGGCGGACATCCATTTCAAGGCCGACCAAAGTACGCCACCCCCACTTTTTCTTCGAAATTTCTTTGGTGTCTGCACTGAAAAAAAAAACACACACACACACACACACAAGGTTATTCACGGCGACATCAAGCCGGAAAACATCCTCCTGGACGAGTACCTCAAGGCTCGCCTGTCGGACTTCGGCATCTCCCGAGTGGGAGAGAGCGAGGCCAAGGTATCGCGGCCTAGGCCACCCGCCGGCGGCGGCGGGCGCGGGGGCAGGGGGGGTGGGCCTGCCCAGGACGACGATGCCGCGCTTCAGGGGACGTTCGGGTGAGGGGCGCACGAGAGAGGGAGACGATTACGTTGTAAAGCGAGAGTCGTGGTACCAAGCTAGGGCAGGGGTTGTCGGGTGTGGTACGAGATGGATGCCGCGGCCCACCACCACGGGGGTGTTTTTGATGTGCTGGAGGCGTGGCTTGATGGGGGCTTACAGGACCCGTGCAAGCGGTGCATTTACATGCGAAGGATATTTTACAACGAGAGTTACCATTAGTGTTTTTTGTGGGTTGGGCTACGGCGGTGGGAGTGGGAAAGAGAGCCTCAAGGCGTGGGTTGTTTTCTCGCAGGCACGTTTTGGTGTTTGTGAAAAGAGACAGCGCGGGGAGCAACAGTCCGCATGATCGATGTGGTGACCCTACTGCGTCAAAATCGATCGTTTTTCGTGTCTAGCACGATGAAATTGATGCCGTAGTACGAGAGTGTCTCCCGTGTGCTGCGTTGAACTACCAACTACTGCGTGTGTTGCTGCCACTGTCCTGTTTTTCTTGCTGTCACCGTCACCGGACGCTTGGTACTTGGGGGCCAACACACGATGCGATGACGACAACAAAACAATGATGATGATGATGATGTGATTAGGTACATGGACCCGGTGTACCAGTCTACGGGCCGCTTGGACGAGCGATCGGATGTCTTCAGCCTCGGGGTGGTTATGCTTG